CTAAAGACTTAGATATTGTCAACAGAATGGAGTGTCTTGCAATGAATACCGCGTTTATAACGATAAAAGATCACAAAGATGATTTTGCCAACAATACTAAATGTCGATTAATTAATCCATCAAAACCAGAACTTGGAAAGGTGAGTAAAATTTTACTAGAAAACATCAACAATAAAGTGAAAAAAGCCACACTTGTAAACCAATGGCATAATACGGATGACGTAATAAATTGGTTCCGTAATATTAAAGACAAACAAAACTCTACTTTTGTCCAGTTCGACATCGAAGAGTTCTATCCTTCTATCTCTAAAGAATTACTTCAAAATTCACTTATTCACGCCAAACAGTTTACGGAAATCTCAGAAAAAACATTAAATATTATAAATCACTCAAGAAGATCTTTACTGTTTACTGAACACAATAGTATCTGGGTCAAAAAACATGGAGATCCTAATTTTGACGTCACTATGGGAAGTTATGATGGGGCTGAAGTATGTGAATTAGTTGGCCTTTTCATTCTTCATACTCTAAGTCAAGTCTATGGGTTGCAAAACGTCGGATTATATAGAGATGACGGCCTTTGCTGTTTTCATGGGATTAATGGGCCGCAATCCGAGAGAATCAAGAAAAACATCGTTCATCTTTTTAAAGAGAAATTTAATCTAAAACTTACAATAAAAACCAACTTAAAAATTGTAAACTTTCTCGATGTTACCTTCAACCTAACAGAAAATACTTTCCAACCATACAGAAAACCAGGTGACCACCCATTATACATCAACGCAAGTTCTAACCACCCACCTAGTATTATTAAATCCATACCATCTATGATATCTAACCGTATTAGCAATATTTCATCTAGCATGGAAGTTTTTAATATAGCATCACCATTTTATAACAATGCGTTAACAGCAAGTGGGTTTAATGAAAAGATTAGTTTTCAAAAAAACCTTGCCTCATCAAAACCAAAATCAAGATCAAGAAACATTATTTGGTTTAATCCTCCGTTTTCACAAAATGTAAAAACCAACATCGCAAAAAATTTTCTAAATCTAATTGAAAAGCATTTTCCAAAAACACATAAGTTTCGAAAAAATTTTTAATAAGAATAATTTAAAAGTTAGTTATAGCTGCCTTCCTAACATCACCAATATTATTAATTCACACAATAAAAAAATATTATCTAATGTTTCCAACACAATTGTTCCAACATGTAACTGCCGGCAACCTTCTCAATGTCCTTTGCAAGGTATGTGTCTCAGTAAAAATATAATTTACGTCTGCAATGTAAAAACATCACCGCAGGATAGTGGTCTTAATTATATTGGTCTAACGGAACACACCTTTAAAGATCGCTGGTACAAACATAAAAATTCCTTTCAATACGAAAGTAAAGCTAACACCACAGAACTTTCGAAATATATCTGGGAAATGAAAAAAAAGGGATTTTCAAATCCTATTCTTACGTGGAAAGTTATTGATAGGGCGGAACCATTTAAACCTGGAGGAAAGTTATGTAACCTTTGCTTAACCGAAAAATACCATATCATCACGTCATCTTTGAAACTACTGAATAAACGAAATGAACTAATATCAAAATGTCGCCACGAAAACAAATTTGTTATTTGCAACTTTAACGTAATCTAAGATAACACTGTATTGTATTTTTGTATATATAATTTTTGTTGTTGTTACGGTTGTTTGTAACGTCTGATGATCGCATAAAGCGTGAAACTCCGAGTTATGTTTCAAATCTAATTGTATTTATTTTATTATTAATTTAATACATATTTGCTCTACTTTTGTATTGAGCACTCTCTACCGAGAAATTACTTTTATTATTGATATACATATATATATATATATATATATATATATATATATATATATATATATATATATATATATATATATATATATATATATATATATATATATATTTATTTATATATATATATATATATATATATAAATATATATATATATATATATACATATATATATATATATATATATATATATATATATATATATATATATATATATATATATATATATATGTATGTATGTATGTATATATATATATATATATATATATATATATATATAGCAAAAATTTTATATAATATAC